TGTAAATTCCAGCACTAATGAATTTATATTTGCTGCATGCTATAAAAGAAAACTGTGAAGAGCTCGTAAGAATAGGGGAATGTATTCATGCCCACTGGCTCACAGAACTTAGCCTGAATCCTTGTGGTCAGTTATGGGGTTCTCCCTTGACCCTAGGGAAATGTAATTGAAGTGCCGTCCTGCTAGCAGCAGTGTCGTAGTATGAGTGTTTGCTACATTACAGCGTCGCCTTTGATGTGAACTGCATCTAGTGGCTACCTGCCGCGGGTCAAGGACTAACATTCCTGTACTAGAAGGCTGTGAAATATCAAGAACTGAAACATCCACCTTAAATGCAGACAGAGATGAGAAATAAGAAAGGTACCGAAATCTACATTTCACTTGTGCCTTGTAATAAATTTAGTGTTATTTTTTTGGGGAGGGAGGTTATAAAACTTGGTCTGTTTGTTGAAAAGCCAGAAAGGAGAACTAGGCTCAGATGTCAAGATAATATTAATTCGGATTTTAAATAAATAGCGTGTGAATTTGATGACTGGATTAATCTGGCTCAGAATAAAATTTCAAGATCTTGTGGACACAATAATGAACGTTTGTTTTCCATAAAATATGTAGAATTTGTTGAATGGTTGATTGACTGCCATCGTCTCAAGAAGGAATATTTTCCATGGAATCTGTGAAACTTTATTTCATGGTCCGTGGAAAGAATATGTGAGAATCGGCTTCAAATGAGAATATTTATAAATAAGAGAGAGGAAGTAATATTGGGAATCTAGGGAACAAAATAATTTCAGAACTTTTAACGCTCTGAAGCCGAGGCTCCTGTACATAACATCTAAGAATTCAGTCACTTGTGACCTGCACCTGGAAGGTCTTAGGATTTTCGATTGAATCCGTGATTCTGTATTTCTACAATCCTGGAGGTCAAATTGTGGAGTAGTACTGGTCAGAATGAGTCAGTGGGTTGGTCAGTTACTACTCACAAATGCACACTTCAAAAGACCAAAAAACCTCCGAAAAGGAGAGCGCGAAAACCCACAAACGGGGTTGTAGAGCCAAGGATAAATAACAACTGGTCGGAATACCAATCTGAGTTTATAATTAGTGGATCCTTAGTTTATTTGATGAAGGTGTTTTAACTGCAGAGATATATGTCTGCGACTCTAACTAATTATGATGTAATTCAAGCGTAATTTGTACTTACTTAAGCACCTCTTGCAGAGTGAAGAAAATAATGGAATAATATGAAAAGGTGAACATCATTATTTTATGAATAAGGACTTAGATTCAGACGATCGTCTGAAGTTATTATCGCAAATTTACCCTGGTTTTTGTTTCTTGCCTTATGCGTTGGTGCCTGACTTTATAGACCTCTGTGTAATTTAATTTAATCTGTGCCTGAAAACTGCGACATTTACTCGTATGCGATAACAAAAACAGCCCAAGTTGGTAAAAAGAATTCCTGTCACCTTCTATCTCTCCCATAGTGTATATGATTTTTACGCGTTTGAACACTTTTAATTTCTGTTCGGATTTTGCATATCATCTTTCTGTCCATTTTTATCCATCTTCTTTGCAAATTCCACGGATGACTCTTTCATTTTTTTTAAAGTCTTTTCACTGGGCTCGGTCTTTCGTTTTTCCCAATGATTTGCTCCTTCAGAGTTGACCCAGTCCGGGTTTATTATGTTAGTTCCCATTCTCTTTTCTGCAGTGGAAGTATTTCCATTCTGTCTTTACACGTTTCTTTACCTTGCATCGTCTACCACCTCCGATGGTCCAAACAGCTCCATGCTAACCGTTCCGCGCAGCCTTCTCCTCCGGGCGATCGATTCGCCTGGCTTCGCCACTTCCCGCCGTACTCTAGCATCGCTCCGTACTACCCAAGAAAATGGACTCGTCCTCATTAATTCCCTGTGGAGTTGTCTGTGCGAGCCAGAGAGGCGCCGATGCCGGGTAACTTACAGCTGGAAAAGGGAATGAATACAGCAGAAGTTGCTTATTTAACAAAGTGTAATGGATATCACGTTTCTTTGTTGTGTCAGAAAAATTTGCATGAGATAGCTGAAAGGTTTCAGCAGTAATTCACGAAAATTCGACCAATAATAACAATTTACATGCGCACGGCAGGTCACGAGAGCCTGGAAACACACTAGTGTGTAACCATTCCAAGCCGAAACTCGTCTAAATAATATTTACGAATACAGTCCGTACCGCAAAGAAAACACGTCACTTCACCATTACAAAGATCATCTCGTTAACGCTGTTTAATGAAATTATCTCTGTTTGCAGTGAAAATAATACGAGACCCACAAAAATAATGAGTTTTTGATTATTTAAATAGGTGGGTTACGATGACTACACGGTGTTGCCAACCAGATCATATTCTGAATGTTCACCGACGTAGGAATACGTATATTTTTCAATGCGTAAGTGTTCTGTCTTATGACAGGTCCATTGCTCTGCCCAAAAAGAGCTCTCCAGTTGTCCCTATTCTCGGCTTCTCGTTTTTATTCCTGGAACGTCATCTTCTTTCCTTGTTTAAGGTCGTCGGTTAGCTGTATCAATCTTCTTCCTAGTCCTCTCTTTCCTTCAACCTGGCCTTCGGTGATATCACTCATTAATCCATTCCTTCTCATAATATGTCCCAGCCAGTTAGCTTTCCTTCGTGTAATCGCCTGCAGAATGCTTCTTTGCTCGTTGACTCTCCTCAATACTTCTTCGTTGGTCACTCGATCCGTCCACCTGATCTTCTCTATTCTTCTCCAACACCACATTTAATAATACAAGTAATCATTGTTAATTGTTTCTTTTTAAATTAGTTTTGGGAAAATAACTTTACTACAGAAGTTTATTGATAAATGATAAGTCACGTTATACAATTTCTTAAGTACTAAGGCAGATATTTCAAAATCGACGACCGCCCTATTCGATGTTTTATATTACTAATCTCACCTCTCAAGTTCCACGCGACGTGCTGTCCCAAATATCGCAGTTTTAATACATTTTAAGTTTCAATTGCATGTCATGTCTGAGAGACATTTAGGTTTGTGTGGGCTTTTAAGAAAATACAGTAATGAAATTTATATATCTTAAGCATGAAATTAGACACAGTAAATGGGTGTGATTTTCCCCACCTATGTTATGGTCCCCCAAAAAGTCGCCTGATTTATATGCACCCTTCAGTAGGCAATGAGTGTGACATGGCCACTAATGAATCTGTGATAATTTCTTGAAAATATTTCAAAGGTTCTCACAGTTAAATTGTTTAAATTAAACCTCAACAAAACTGTTCTACTCTTAATTTTTATAGAAGAAACTGTCGATAAAACTAAGGTTGGATACAAAACATGTTTTATTTTACAACAATTCTCTATTTACAAAATATTTAAGTGCTAGAAATAGACTATAGGAATTCATGAATCAATATTACATGTTTGGTAGCGTGATTGTTGGAAGTATTGAAATATTATAATACAATATAAATGGTTCCATTCTCGTCTATTTAGTAATAGAATAATTTATTCCTTACATTATTGGCTAAATATGTGTGTTAACTGAATGTGTACAGAATATTTCGAAAACAGGATATTGAGGGATTCTTTGCCTATCGTGGTGGAATAATACGTAGACTTTATCCAGTTACTGCCCTAAATTTATCAAGTATCCACAGGAGACACAAGTTTAATTTTTGTTTGGGTTTTATATCTGCAGTAAATAAACTCCAAACAATGACGCAAAATCGAAAAGAACGTATTTGGAAAACGGGTATATGTACCTACTTCAGAATAGGGCGTGTCTAAACCTTTCAATTTCCGTTCTTTTAGGTGCACGCAGAGGTTTGGAAAGTGACAGGATGTTAAAAAATTGCATAATTTATGTATCTAACTCATTCAGAGCTTTTTTTTTAGAAGCCAATCACCGGACAGTTGATAATATATCCCAGTTTCTGGAACCCAAAATTTAGTTAGAACTTAAGTCTCACGTTTGTTCTTTGCTCCAAGTAACAGAAGTGATGATGCATATAATTTTAGCGACAAATGAGAGTAAAGTTGGCTTGTTCTGTCGTGTCTCCTCATTACCATCTCTTTCTCGCCCGCTTCCGATAGCACAGGGCACCCTGCAACCACCCTGGGAACACTAGCCAACTTACTTCTGCAAAAACTATTTCCATGGCGATATTCTAGGGTATTTGACGGCGTTACGTTGGCAGTTGTTCGACCCGTCGTCAACTGCGCATGCCTTGGCGCGGGGTCCGCTGAAGTATCGTCGAGGGCTGTGAAACACGTATAGTGCTTGTTCAGTTCGGGGGGAAATATGGTGTACAATATACAAGGGAACGCAGTCTGTGAACACGGGTTGCCTAGCTTCCATCATCTAGAGACACACCGCAATCTTCAGTGTTGAATTGTGTTTACAAAGTGTTGAATGGGAATGTGATAAATTCCGGATCGTTATTCAGTAAATAACTTAAACGAGTTTAATTCGTTCGTTTCAACAAAATAAATAAACTGTTGAAATGAACAGACATTTTCGTTGATAATTATCGGAATGTTTAAATTTGAAACGTTTTGGTACCGCGTATGACGTAACTTTGCTGTGGGGAGTGCAGGTGTCAGCGAAGTGGTTACAAGAGTGTGCAAATGTTTGCGCATCTTTTGGAGACGACCAAATGGTGGGTGATAGTCGCTGTGTAGTGTCCTACTTCATTCTATCATCGTCTGCTCACTTTCACAGACGTTTCGGCTACTCTGCACTTAACAGTAAACCGGTGCCATCTAAGTGTTCTGTCTTTCATTCTATTCTTCTTGATTCTACTCTTTCTTTATCTTCGTTCTTCTCGTCAAAATCTACATGGCGGTCGTGAGATTCCGGAATATGCATCTCTGGCTTCTAACAGTGGCCTTCTTCTGCGTGACAATTGCAGTTGGATCGGGATTTGTGCTCGAGGGTTCACAGACATCTTATGCACAGTTCCGGAAATGGAACGCGGGTCTCAATGGATCTTTGGAGTTCGAGTTTAAGACCGAACAGCCGAATGGGTTACTTCTGTACACGGATGATGGGGGGACTTACGATTTCTTTGAGATCAAGCTTGTTGAGGGGGCTCTGAGATTGAGGTACAATCTCGGTGGCGGTGCCCAGATCCTAACCGTTGGTCGCGACCTCAATGACGGTCACTGGCACAAAGTTCAGGTGCAGAGACACGTGGAGAGGACGTCACTGACAGTTGACGGCGTCACACAGAGCGGGTCGTCGCGCGGCAAGGAATTTCACTTCGGTAGCCTGGCTTCGAACTCGGACGTGTACGTTGGCGGTATGCCGTCGTGGTACAACACAAAACTGACTCTACTAGCCCTCCCTAGTGTCATCTTTGAGCCACGTTTCGGTGGAGCGATCCGAAATCTTGTGTACTCGGATGAGGAAGGCGGTATTCCTCGGCGTCAAGAGATGAAGATGACGGAATTCAAGGTAAATTTTTTTCCCCATCATTTAGCAAGTACCGTACTATGTGTAATTGTGTAACCGACAAGAAAATACGTCCCTTGTATTATTATTGTTGTTGTTACAGTATTTTGTAATCAGAAATTTCCGTGACGTAGAACACTGGATGCAGTGTTCTGATTATAGCGCGTGTATTATTTTATTGGTATTATCCGAATCTATGCGTCTGAGCTACAGACAGCGTCCTTCAGTAACCCAAGATTTGATGTCGGTTTTCTCGTTTGTGACGCCGTGTGGACTGTAGGTAAATACCAAAGTTTCGGAAAACAACCCGTCTCCATCTCTCAGTCTGAGGTCCAGCGGTGTTACAACCCAGAAGATAAAAATCAACATTTTCATCGCCGTGAGACCCGAATCCCGACCACGTCGTATAACAGCACACGAGTGTTAATGTTTCGAGACATTTTATCTCTTCCCTACTCCATATGAGTTTGTTTTTAAACGGGATGGGATAATTCGTTTAATAGAAACTGTGATACAACTTTAGGTTTATTTTTTTCAGGTATGGTATTACAGTTATATAAGTGTTTTGTTCAAATATGTAGGGCGTAAGCAACTCTGAAACGTCGATAAGCTTCTACCTTACTACAAGATGCAACATCACAGAAGACAGCCGTCTTCAAACAAGCCGCCCTGATAACCTCAAAGATCACTGAGTGTATTTTTGTTTGAATATCGCATTTATGTATAAGAAAGGAACGAGTTATGATGACAGCAGAGGAAGATGTTCTTCGGAACAGCACGCCCGCGGTCCAGTCCGATCAATACATGTTCAGCATTCAGGTCCCAGGTTTTGCTGTGTACTTTCATTCACCCTGGCCGATGTCTGCTGACAGTGACTGCCGATAACATCTTCAGGCTGTAACACAGCGACAGCCCAGCAGAGAAAATGAAGTCTTGATCTTCGGAGTCAGTAATGAAAATAGGGTTATATAACTCGCTGTATAAAATGTCAGTGTAATATTCTCTTTACGTCAGATTATAATAAAATAGTCAGTATTCGCTTCAGGAATGTTCGCGTTACGAAATTTCGCTCAACGAAGTGCTATCCCTTCACTTTGGCTCGTCATCCGAACGCGAACTCACTCACCCGAAACATTCCGAACATGAACAAACACGTGATAACGAAATAAAGGACGGTCTGTTAGTCAGTCAGTTAGTTAGTGAGAAAAGGGAAAACTACACGAGTTAGTACGCCTTGTGCGTCTTATGAGAGTTTTTTTAAATGTTGTGGTTTAACCTACTAATTATTAATTTATGTTTTACGTAATAAAACTGATTTATAATTTTGTTGTTGTTTTTCGGTAATTCGGGAACGTAACCACAATTTTAGCATTGAGATGGGAAATAGCAACTCGCCCTCTCCAAGAATGCAACTATAATTAAATAACCCTGAAGTGGAGACAGGCTTTCCAAAAATTTTGAGTACTTTGTAGGTTCAGAAATTCATGAAAATTAAAGTGAAATGTTATATAAAATGCGGATACTTTTTATAATTTATTTCATGTGCATTTATTAGGACAATCAAATAAAGGAAAACGTGATGAACGAGGAATACAGCAGATGAGAGATGAATAATCCATAAAACATTTTAATCGGAAAACGGGCATAAATATGATAATATTAATTAGGGAATAATATTAAAGCACGGATCTTTAGAAATAAAATGTGAAGGACTGAAATAGATTATTACAGAGTTACTTGGGAAGAGCTGTTTATTAAGAGCACAGCTAAGATCCACATTGTCGAGAAATTCTTCCTAAATTTCCCCGCTAACAAGGGGTCGTATTTTCCATACAACGTTCATGAAAGGAACGAAGGAAAGCGATGTCCTATTTTTAATAATATAATGAATGAAGGGTGCTCAAAAGGTTTCAGTGTGTTTCCATTTTATACAACCATTCCTTGACGCACAAGACGACGAAACCAATGTCAGTGTTGAATTATTGAAGCTGGTACGTTGTTAAAATCAGTGCGGCCATAAGTTCAGTTGTTTTTTTCGCTCGATTGACATTCGTGACAGATAAACACTTTCTGTTTCGCGTGTTACCAGTTTGACTTCTTAGTCTCTGGATACTACATCAATATTTGGAATAAGTAAATAAATAATTTTGATGGTTACCCTTTTGTTAAGATAACAGCAGAGTTTGTAATAATTTCCGGGATGGAATAGAAATTTTGCAAATACTAACATAAAAATGGCCAACACCCCGCCTCGGTAGTATAGAGTTTATTTAACTTCAAATTTTCAGCGTCAAATGAGATGATAATAATGAAAATTGACGAAGGAAACGGCCATGGCTTGATTTAAGGTGCTGGAGGTATGAGGAAAATCACGAAAAACCTTAGTCAGTGTACCCGGTCTCCGCGTCGAGATTTGAACCAATGACCTCCCGAATACGAAGCAGGATTGACAACTCAACCACGAGGTTCAGTGATATTGTAGAATATTAACATCAGTTATAACGGGCTTTGTTTAAGTAAAATCATTGACTCTGCAGTATTCATTGCTTTAACGAGAATGGTGTATCGCCCATTATGCAGTATCAGACACTTGATGGACAGAGTGCTGTAACATGGTTATATATCGATCACATTCTATATACAACGTAAGTCAAACCTGCACTGACCTTCACCTTGAAATATGTTTTTGATATATAAAACATGCACTGGTTATCATAGATCTAGTGTTACATTACAGGAATTTATAGCGTCATGGCTTATTTCTATTTCATTTCGTGGAGCATTTTCACAAGGTCTCAGATCGTTCCAAACAGCTCATGTTGGAACGACGACTGAAAGTTTCTCGTATTGAAGTGGGTTTTGCGTACAAGTTACATTAATTAAAGCAAGGGTGCGTTTACGTATGTATCGATTTTGCTCCGAAAATAGAAGCCATAGTCTGCTTCGTAACGCTTGTAACCACACGGCATAGAACCCGCCTGAAGACGTAGGCGATACGTTTGTTCCGAAACGTCGTAGACACCTACGAGGCTACGCGGGTTCACAGCGTACAAGACCACATCTTGACCGCCGTGAGATCCTGAAAACTGATGTGAGAAATGAGAATTGCATACAAAGTTTTGATTATGAACCCTGAAGATAAGAGACCACTTCGAAAATGGAGGCATAGGTGGTATAATAATATTAAATTTTATTTTAAAACCATAGCGTGTGAGGATTTGGACTGAAATTATCTGACTCGGAGCAGGGAGATCTGTTGGAGTTTTGTGAACACGCTAATGAACATTCGGGTTTCATTAAAATCGAGGGACGTCTAGTTGAAGGATATTATCATCTAATTAAGTGGTTACTAGCTTCGAGAGCCACGGTGGTCTAGCGGTTAAAACGCTGGTCTTGTAATCCTGGGGTCCCGGGTTCGATTCCCGGCGGTGCCCGAATGTATAACTTGTGTTGGGCAAGGCCGTGGTCTAGGCAACACGGAGTTTTCCTCCGGGGGCTTCTTCCCCGGTTTCTCCGTGGCATCCCAACAATTACTCCATTCACACACAGAAGAAGACAATGGCAAACCACTTCTGGATAATCTGCCAAGAATGTATATGAACAGGTCCCAGTCCGAGAAAAAGATGGAAGTATCCTGTTCATATGGACCTGTCGTCAGACAGAACACTAAATAATAATAAGATGAGGTGGGCTAGCGGTTAGAACGCTGGCCTTGTAATCCTGGGGTCTCGGGTTCGAATTTATAACTTGTGTTGGGCAAGGCCGTGGGCTAGGCAACACGGAGTTTTCCTCCGGGGGCTTCCCCGGTTTCTCCGTGGCATCCCAACAATTACTCCATGCACACACAGAAGAAGGCAATGGCAAACACTTCTGGATCATCTGCCAAGAACGTATATGAACAGATCCCAGTCCGAGA